ACGGGGCCAATATTTTTTCGCAATGGTTCATTGCTGCTTTGCGTTGCTCGACTTCCTCAACACATAGTACGAAAATATTATGGAACTATTTCCACCATTCAATCCGCAATTACGTAGCGAAGTGGCTCCAGAACTTGAAGTCGGTGTACAAGGCCCTACAAATCGAGGACGTCGCCTTACTAAGCGCTCGAGCCTGGTCTCGACGAGTTTAATTCGTTGTCAACATCGATAAGCTGTGTTCCGTCAAACTCACTAATATTGTGTATATTTTTCCTACAGAACCAGGTGCAAATATTCACCACAGCTGGACTTTGGGTCAGGCGTAATCATGTATTAAGAGGAAGTGGCGTCCACCCCAGGGATACCGAATATTGCATTTGTAGCTATTGCACACCGTAGCGGATAGTAGATTATTGGTGATAGCATCATGTGAGCCCTGAATAGATGTTTGAACTAGACAAACGCTAAAAAAAGATCATTGATGCAATAATGTGCCAATATATTGTGTGTTTAGCCTCGTATTATCCCTCCGCGATTTCCACTGTACGGGCGTCCCAATAACTCGCATGTTGACGCAAGAGCAATAGTATACGGTTGAAGCCTGTGGCGTTGGTGCCCACATCTGGATTCGAAATCGGGACTGTGGACAATATCAGCCCTTGGCGCTGCATTAGGGCTAAAAGGTAAAGGGCCCGAAGGAAAGGCTCAGTAGCTAAAGGGTTAACCCTGTCGTTGAAGGGTCCTTTAACTACTGAGCATTTCCTACGGGACCTCTACCAGAAATCAATACAAATCTTTATATATTTTGCTCATAATTTGCTGGAAAATTCGAGGTCCAGGTGGACCCCTACCATATTACGTCATCTTCCGCAAATCATTTGACTCTATAATATCCAATTGCGGCTTAGACAATTTATGGTAGAGGTCTGTCCGGACCTCTACGAAGGTCAAATCCGCTTGTTCATGACTGCTCAAACGCTGTCGAGGTCTTGCGTACACTTGCTTAAACACTGGGATACGACGTGGTTAAGCCTGTGACTCGCAAATCCGACTAGTGGAACTCCTACAAGGTATGCGATGCGGCGATTAAGCGGAGTAGCTGTCTCCTACAAAGAAGAGCCACTGCCCCAGGATCTTACCATAGTCCTGCGCCAGCATATTATCTATGAACGCACGATAAGTATTTTATTAATTTGGTTATTTTATCAGTGGCCGTAGGCAGGTCGTCGGTCTCGTCGTGTACGAGCAGCGGCATACTCAAAAGGAAACAATGAAGTGTCCTGTCCACCTCGCACCACGCGAACACCGCGAGAAAATGCTCTGAGTCATGGCTCCATCTGTCTAAGACGAGCCCAAATCGCTTGAGCAACTCCGCCGCGATCGAACGAGCGCTCTTCTTCTCGAGTCACAGTCTCCATGACCCGCCGGAGTGTCTCCACGGTAGGTTGCCGTACCTGACGTTGCATTGCAGCATTTAAGAAACGCGGTCTTTAACTTAAAATATTAACGAGTGTACTGTCGTGCGAACTTGCTCGTACAGAACGAGAGCGGTAGATTGCACTTGACCAGTACTTCCAGCCGCCCGAACGTATTTAAGCAGTCAGGCTCACGTAGTGGGCACCATATCCACTCTGGCCAGGCGTAGTCACTAGCATCTCCTCAACAAAGAAAGAATGCTTCCGCTTTATATGTTGCATCAGGTTCGCGAAGCCAGCTCCAGCGACTCGCTTCGGGACCGTGCCGCACCTTCACTGGTAATACTTCAGGGTTATCTCGTCGCACTGGTCACATAAGGGCCGGAAGTAAAAACGGGCAGCTTGACTATTGGTGAAGGTGGCTGGGGCGGCAGGGTGGGGAGCGACGAGCATCTTGGGGGCTACCGTCTTACCCCGCTTCAGACGCCTAGGCTTTTAAATCGAATAAAAACGTTGATTACGAGGATACCTGAACCTCGTGTAGTACGCCCAGTCAAATAGAGCGCCTACCCAGCTGGAAGGTATAGGTAGCGAGCCATAACCAAAGCTTCATGGCCAACCAATCGACTGGAGATTGGAGCTGAAACCGCTCCAGAACAGTCATCCACTTTTCATTTTCTCTCTACCATGACAGCCAAGAAGCGAACCAGCTACAGTCTGCAGTTCAAGCTAAGTGTAATTAGTGAATACAGGGCCAGTGTGGACGGTTCTGGCTTCCACGCGCTTGCTAAGAAGCACAAGGTGACACCGTCCATGGTCAGAAACTGGTGGGACCGCAAAGACTTGCTGGTCAGCGCATCGAGGAGCCGCCAACTCGCTACCCGTTAACGGCGAAGGATGCCAGGAGCAGGCAGAAAACCAGAGCACCACGCACTAGAGCAACAAGCTCACGACTGGGTGATAGCACGAAACCGTAAGGGTTTGCGTGTGAAAGACAAGTACATACAACTCCATGCACTCAACATACATCGTACCATGATGGCCTCGACCCCGGAAGAAGTTTTCGCGAGTTCCAAGCGTCCTCGGGCTGGCTGGCTCGATTTAAAGACCGTAACAGCCTTGTATCCAGGAGGCAGACCAGTGCAAGAACTCTTCCAGGGAATGCCAGCCAAATTTGTCTTGATTTTATCACAAATGCACAACAACTGATCGAACAACACAATATACAGCCTTGTAACGTCATCAACATGGACCAAGTCCCGAGATATTTCGAGACCGAGCCGAAGTCGACAATTACAACCCGTGGTGTGAGAGAAGTTCTGCTGTGTAAGGGAGGAAGTAGCCACAAACGGTTCACTGCAACTTTTGCCATTACTGGAGATGGTCAAATCCTGACCCCTCACGTTCTTTTCTCTAAGCTCAAGAATAAACCGTCGGTTCCAGAGGGAATTCTTGTGGATGTGAACCCAACGGGTATGTGGAGTGAAACCATACTTCTTGATTACGCCCAGAACGTAATCTGTACCAGAAAAGAAACTCAGTTTTACCGAAAGCCTGTACTCTTCGTTATCGACTCGTACGCGTGTCACGTCAAGTTGTATGACGAGAAGAAGCTACGACAGTACAATATTTTCGTTTTGTTTATTGGTACCACCCAACCTTACCAACCTCCTCCAGCCCCTCGATGTTGCTGTTAACAGAAGCTTTCAGGCTTTCTACAGGGAGCAATACGACGACTACATTAGCTCAGCTTTGGGCGACAAACGACTTCAAACAAAAGCAGGGAACCCCAAAGTTCCGCGATACGACAAGGTTTCCCAGTGGGTTTTGGACTGGATTGCTACAAAAAAAACGCACTGAGATTTCGAAAGCGTTTTCGCTATGTGGCCTGGTGTCGGAGATGGAGTTCGACGTTAAAAATCTGCATCCGCCTCTCCGCGATCTCTTTACCCGTCAGTTGACATGAACGAGTGGCATCTACGCTATCAGCACATAGTGGATGAGAATGACAATCGTGAAGAGCTGTGTGTTGCTCGACCTACCTCGTACCTCCATGAGGACATGCGAACCAGCTTGTTCTGCTGTCTGCGATACAGTAGCGGTGAGCAACCTCACGAGTACATTGACGTGCTCACTGAGTACATGAGCAACTTGCAGGATTTGGACGGTCTGTTTGATATTGACTATATCACCTCGCTGAAGAGCGGAGAGACGCTACCAGGCGAGCTCGAGCTTTTTGCTGCAGCTAACATGCACCACTAGAATATTGAAGTCAAGACTCTGGATGAAGACTGCAAAGTCGTCTCAGAGTACACGTACACAGTTGACAGCCCCACGGACACGGTGCACCTCGCACGAATTGGCTTCTACTTTTCGCTCAAGGTGAATGGGATGCATGTGTAGGATAATCGACATGCTGTCGATGCTGTTCTTCTGATTTTTAGCTTATGTCTGCAATTGTAAGCCAAGGCTTTATATACGAATACAATGCCCAGTGGGCTGTTTATTTTTTTTGAAAGCCTAGGCGTCTGAAGCGGGGTAAGACGGTAGTGGTGGTGTTCGGTTTCTTGTGAATTTAGAAGTGATGAAGTTATGTATGCTGGCGTCGATTTGGGGCTAGATATTGTGGTGGCATCTGTCCTGGCTTAACAAGGAGATGGTTGGTGGTAGTTTGGTTCAGTGATTATTGAACTGATTTGGCTGGCTCAATAGATAACTGCTGTCTATCGTTTAAATGTCAAAACTAGATTACGGCTTGACATCTACGTCAATAATTTCAGCATCATTTTATTTTTCGGCATCCGTCGACCGGCCTACCGCGAAGGACCGTTCTCGTCCGTGTATGCAAGTGGAGGGGGAAACCATGTCGCCGGAATCCTGATCCGGCGAGAAGCGTCGCGGGATCGAAGCGCAATAGACTCGACACAGCCTTTCGAACGTCTTACCCACCGGTGGATCGCCTTTTATGTGTTGCGAGAACGGCACTTGGAATGACATGCAGTCGATTGCGCGGAGATGAACCGATCTTGCAGTAAAAACGCTTGATTTTGGGACGAGCCACGGCTGGCCAACTCGTCTAGTGCAGATAACTTTCAAAACATGAAAGGGGGACTATTCACATTAGTTTCTGCTTCGTGCGCTGTCCACTACTTGTGCAAGTGGATGATGCATGCTGGTCCCATTATTTGTTTACCACAGATTCGTGTTACTGATATTAATTTTTTATTCCGCGGCCCTGGGTGTTATACTTGCCAAGTGCCTCTGATATGCATTCAAAACTAATGCAATGCTTCCCTGGTGCTAGTGGTGCCGAACACTGAACGGTAATCTAGCGGTGGAAGAGTGAGTGAGCGTCCTTCTATCATGGGGTCAACAACAGGTTGCAACTACGCTTTACCGTATAGCAGTTTCATATCCAGCAAATAGTCGTATCCGATAATTCATTATAGCAAATTAGAGTCGAGTAGACACATTTTCCGAAAACGAATTGTCCTATCCTACAGCTAATGGGTGGTCTACGAGGTGATGCACTTTGGTTGGACGCAGAAAGTTCTTGTACCAGCACTTGATCGCACTCATTTACAAATGACCAAAGGAAGACAGAAGCACAGCAAGACCGGCGGAAGACGGGCTCGCGACTACAAGCTCTCGGTGCCCACGCATCAGTTTCGACTAGACAGAGTGCTCTTCTTTGAGGTCAACAGTATAAGGTCGACCCTCAACAAATTCTTTTCAGATTTGTGTGGGTCTCAGCTGCAAACCAAGCGCGTATGAGCATCTACCTGTGGCGCAAGCAAAACGACAAGCTTCTGCAGTTGTGTAAAACTTCATCTTCGGCTGAACTTCGTAAGCTCCGTGCAGTCGGGACAGACTCAGCTCCTCCGGCTGACGCCGAAGTGCATACCGTTAAGTGGATCAATGCGTACCGTACTCAAGATCTCCCGGTGTCAACCTTGATGCTGCACCGGAAGCTCTGTCGGTGACGTGGGCGTGCGGAGGAAGTTGTTTTGCAGCATCTCGGGGATAAGCAAAGGGATTTCGAAAACGGCATTGCCTGACCATGCGTGCGCGAACTCGTCAAAGTCAGGTGAGACTAGAAAACGCTGACGCTGCACTGAAGTCCTTCAATGTCAAGATGAAGCAAATGAGGGCGGAGGCGTTGAAGTTGTGCACAACGCCGATCAAACGCCAGACTTATTTGAGTGCCTACCAAAGTCTACGATCACTGCAAAGGGTTTTCATACTGTGTGGGTGCGCTCCACATGCAAAGACAAAGAGAAGCTAACCCAAATGCTTCTCGGGGACTCGCTTGGCCGCAAGTATTCATACTACATCATTGTGAGAGCTAAGCCGTCCAAAGTGCCGGCCACACGGTCGGGAAACAACAAAAAGGCATGGGTCTCGCAAGCTGCTATCGGAAACAGTGGAGCCACTTCCAGCACAGCCCAACGTCGTCATCTACAGGAGCTCTAGCGGCTGGTGGAACTAAGGCCTCACGGCTAGCGCTCTACGCACTTTGGTGTGAGAACAAACATGGAGTTACCGGTGCTGCTTTTGTTAGACGATTTTTCAGGTCATTGGACGGATGCTTTTCTAGCATGCGCCATGGGGCTCAACTTGGACCAGATGCATGTACCCGCGGGTTGCACTGGGTATGTCAGCTCGATGATATCGCATAGAGCTGAAGCTCCGTCTACGCGAGCAAAGGTTTTTGCTCTTAGAGGATTCAATGAAGACGCACGGGCTGGCAATAGCTGCGTCTAACTCGCTCACGATGGTTGCTTTATCTCGGTCAAATGTCATTGTCCGGGTTGCAGGAGCATGGGGTGTGTTACCGGCGACCACATTTGTGAACGGGTTTAATGTAGTGCTAGAAGAAAGTGAAAACGATAAGGAATCCAAAGTGCATACATATAATGACGTACTCCGTCTAGAACAGCTGGGTATTCTTAATATACGTATCGGCGAGGTGCCAGAAAAGCTGGATGTTATCGATAGAGTTGTTAGCACTATAGAATATGCTAGCGTTTGCTTCAGCATATACAATGCTACCTCTTTATCTTCTTACGCGCGGAAGGGTGCACACATGCGCAACAGTAGCTTGCACATGTAGGACATTGTTTAATGTGCTACGCGCGCTGAGAGAGTTCTCGGGGCAAACCTTCCTTCTGAACTCGATTATGACCTCCATTTCACGCTATTATCAAGCTGGACTAGTGTTTCTGGGGTGAAGCGGCGATGACGGCCATCTACGTGAAGAACCGCCTGCCGTCACCTAAGATCGAGTGCAAGACTCTGTTCGAGATTGTGTACAAGCCCGCGCCAAGTGTGAAACACATGCGCGTCTTCGCTGTCGAGCTTAAATCTTAACTCCGAAGGAGAAACGGCTCAAGTGGGATCCGAAGGCTCGCGCCGGACTGTTCTTGGGCTACGAAGAAGTATCTAAGGCGATCGACGTTATGACATCGAGGCGGGGCAGGTGGCTCCTTTCGGGTTTGTTATGATTTTTTTTACATTTGCAAGGTAAGCATACAGCCTAATTTCTCATAGTATGGATGAATATCATCAATTCTCCGACCCTACTTAATTTTAGTATTGGTATTTTTAACCAATCATCTATTTTTATACATTAGACAGCCAATCGTACGGTCATGACAAAATGATTTGGCCAATCCAAATGGTAAGGGCTAGGATGAGCGTCGTTGGAGTTGGCTCCGACATATCGGGTCGGAGAGGACTCAGGAAATATGGATATGCTCTTACAAATTTCAATATGTAGGCATGTCACATGCATAAAGTCATTTCTCCGACTTCTCCGACCAGTGCAATCATTACCACACATTAATTTTAAATCTTAGACTTATTTTAATATGCTACTATGTAGTAGTAAATTTTAGAGGAAGTGGGTAGCAGCGCCACAGGGAACTTGCTCGTCATTAGGAGCAACACATGCAACATCCATGCGTGGAGATCCATTATTTTTATATTACGTAGAGCATTATGTAGCAAGCGTCAATTAAATGTACATGTATTGCCTTATTAATTCTTGAGCACTCCAGCTCGCTGCCTCCTGTGCACCGCCCTGCCGCACTGACACCTCTCTGATGCCGGCTTGAGACCGCCCTGCCACCGCCACCACCTTGCCACCGCTCTGCCGCAGCACTGCCACCGCACTGATACCGCCCTGCCGCCGCACTCCCATCGCACTGAGACCACCCTGTCGCCGCACTGCCACCGCTGCCGCCCTGCCACCACCCTGCCGCCGCACTGCTACCGCCCTGAGACCGCCCTCCTCCTTTTTATTGTGAATACATTTTCAATGTGGCCCACAGTTAAAAAAGAAAACTTAATTTATTTGTTTTAAGAGTTACGGACTTAGATGTGCCACCCTTTATGTACAGGTCGGAGGTTGTCGGAGGTCGGAAATTTTATGGATGAATATCATCATTTCTCCGACCATACTTGAATAAACTATTAGTATAAATAGCCAGTCAGAAAGGATAGCCTGTATTTGGACGAATCATACATCGACTGTGCCAATATTTTGACCAATTAAAGCACGGTAGGGTCCGTATAGGTCGATCAGAGGCAGCTCCGACATATTGGATCGGAGGCCCCTCTTGTAATATTGATATCGGCATACAAACCTCCACTCATTAGCATATTTTGCAAATAGCACGCGAGCTCCGAACCCTCCGACGCAAGATGAGTCTGAGCGACCTCGCACCGACAAACACGAAGCACGCACGGGATGGCGCGGCACGCATGTTCAAAGCGTTTCTTGAGGAATAAGGGGTGACATGGGAGTACCTAGAGGTGTGCATGAAGCGCGACAACGCTCCCCGCGTTTTGAAGGCCGTGGTGGACAAGTTTGGAATCCATCTCGCTTTCAAGGAAGGACGGAAGGGCAGCCGGTTGGCTAGGCACTCAGTCATGCAGTACTACCGACAGGCAAAGAACTGGTTGCTCGATCGGCTCCCACAGCATCGAGAGGCTGTCGGAAAGGTTCTCGTGAAGAAGGGTCAAGTGCTGGAGCGCTATTGCGTGAAGCAAAAGTGTGGCAATTTTGTGAAGAAGACACCTGCATGCACGAAGAAAGCACTCAAGCAGATGATGGTGTACCTCTATTCAAATGGTGTAACGTCTTCGGACTAATAAGACGCAGCGCTGCTGTGCTTGCTCTGGTCTCTGTTTGGCCGAGCCTCTGACATCTCGCTACTCCGGAAGGTGAGCGTATCTATCGGTTCGGGAGGAATATTTTTTCCGAGGCTGATCCGTGTCAAGACGTCCGAAGAACAAGGTCTCTCCCTCTTTCCCGACGACGACTTCGCCACGTGTCGGCTGCTAGTTATCGCTGTGGCTCTTGCAACTCAATCGGCACCGGCGGCTGCTCTGCTAAACCACCTCCCTGAACAACAAGTGGCGACCGAAGCTTCCCTGACTCCGGCAGCGCCACTGATCGATCTGATCGATAACCCAGAAGCTGTCGCTCCACTCAACTCCACCTCAGATGAGAGCAAGCCGCTTGACGACACTACTGGAATCCACGGCTACGTGAATCGCGTCTTGACGAGAATCATGCCTGAAGCTGGTGTTGTCCAGCGCTTGACGTCACATCCGTTTAGACGCGGTGGTGCACAACATGCGAGTAGTGTTGGCATGTGTGCGCAGTGGATCTTCGACAGAGGCGCGTGGAACATGACGGCAATCAACAAGGCCTTCGCATACGTCTTCAGCACCCCAGCTGGAGATCACAAGGTGGCTCGTGTTTTGAGCAATCGAGGGCCAGATGACTCCGTCGCTTTGCTGTCACTTGATGTATTCGACTCTCATACCCGGCAAAGTATTCGCTTGGTCTCTTCATCTTTATTCACGTCTTCGTCCGGAATGAAATCAGAGCAGTACAACGCTAGCGTGGCTGTACACGACACTCTCATGGCTTACCTTCTGCTGCACTATCCGTCACTGAGGACTCTATCGGCGTCCGGTCTTCCAATTCAGCGCTTGGAAGCTTGTGCCGAGGATAAAGGCTTCACTGTAAATCATCTGCTTGCTTGGTCGGCGTACCTCAGCGGCAACCCAAGTTCTGCGGAGGACTCTAAAAGCAAATTTGCACAAGACAACCCAAACGACATCACCCAGCATCCAGTATATTTTCAGCGAACAGCATTGATTGAGCAGTTAATCCAGGTCAACAAGAAGCTTGACGCTCGGTTGACTGTAATGGTAGGCATAATCGGAAACGAACACCCCCGCGCGCCTACGAAACCAAAAAAAAAGTGAGGACACAAGTGAGAAGAAGTCTCCAGGAAAGCGACGCCGTACCTCTCCAGCTCTAAGCTTGAAGGATGTCTGGTTCGCGTGGTACACTCAAGAGCCGCGCATGTGGAGCTTGACGGATGCTGAAACCAAGCACACACTCAACAGGCAAGTAGGTCGTTGCGTTCTTGAAGCTGTTCCTTTACGATGGCTTTGTCTTGGACAAGCACTCTGGACGCTACCGCGACGGTGTTCTCGAAACAGGGAGCCTTGCTGAGAAGGCAATGCTGGCGTTCTTACAGCAGCACAACGTCACTGCCCGCGGAGCGCAAAACGTCCTGAAGTCCATGCGGAAACTACACAAAAGCTGGCCAGCTGAATGTGCACATTGGTAAGTACCTACAACGTCAAGCTCAAGGTCTCATCATGGATCCTGCTCCTCCGCATACTTGCAACACGATCGGGTTATTGACCATGAAGTAATTAATAAAAGCACCCACCTTTCTGCTCATGTCCAGTCGTTTTTTGCGAAGTTTTGCGCGCTGCACTCTCTGCTGTTCACTCTTCGTTCTGCTCTCAAACCTTGACACCTCAGTCTCGGATGCCTACCAAGAAGCCAGCCAAGAACGGCATCAGCTCCGCGAAAGCGTTCAAGACCCTGTGCATCGCCGTGGCCAAGTCTTGCAAGATCCGGGTTAGTGATGAAGCTATTCGTCACCTTCGACTTACCATGAACACTACCGTCGCCTCTACCAGCCTGCTTCCTGAAGCAATTCAAGTCGTCTTCACCTCGTTGGCTGAGCTCAAGATCCAGCGGGCAAAGCTTAACGACATCCGCGAGTGGCTGGCTTCTCTTGCTGTCGACAACGACGGGGTGGACGGTGACGAAGATAGCGAAAGCGAGAAGCTCCACTACGTCTGCAAGATCTTGAACTGGAAACGCGTTAAGGGCAAAACGTACTACCTCGTCGAGTGGGAGGCAACTTGGGAGCCACGCGAGCACTTGAGCCAAAGCATCGTCGCCGCGTTCGAGAAGGAGCGCCGCTTGCTTGTGCGCAAGAAGTTCTTTGAAGACAAGGGTGTGGAAGACATCACGCTCAACATCACGGAAGGACTAAGAGAACAAGATCTAGTGAGGCGCAAACGGCTTCGTATTACAAGTTTAAAAAGTGTTAATGAGTAGAGAGACTTGAACAACAATGTTAACCGCTGAC